TCAGATTATCTGCCCTCTATGGGGTAAATATTTTAAACATCATGCTGAGTTTTAGCAGAAACTTCCCTATTAAAGTAAATGGGATCTAAGAGAGGATAAATGCAAGCACGCAGTACAGGGGTGTTAAACCTATAAATCTTCTGTGTCTTACGCTTTGTGCTTTAATCACTGACAAAAGACAAGTGTTTGCTGCCTTTGTAAGGTTCCTAAAGCACAAAGGGAGGGTGTGTGCTCAGCACTGCTTCCTGTAGCACTGGCTGCAGTTACAGCTTGACAGCCCGAAGCAGGAAGGACACAGGGATTCCTCAGCTCCTCAGCGAAGGCTGCAGCTGCACAAACGGGAGTAATCTGGCTTTCAAGGGGTAAGGAGTCCAGTTCACTCTGTGCCGAAGTTACAGTGATTAAACAGCATCTACCTTTAAGCCAGGAAGTATTTTAGCCAACAGCTACCTTACAGGCCCCTTCAAGGTTACTGAACACGTATTAAGCAATTTTTCTGTAAATTTTGTCTTTTGCTCATATCAATCCCATCACAGGTGTGGTTGATAAGTACCCCAGTTTATGTAACAGCAAAGGCTGGGAAAGGCTCTTTCCTTAGGGTACCTATCTTAAAACAAGTAACTTGAGTTTGAAAAAAAAAGCCTGCTCTCTCCAGTAGGCATTGTTTCATGGTTTAATACGATAAATGTAGCCTACATGTGCACGATATGTCTGGCAGCATTCTTTGTTACTTCACTAGATGGCGTGTGGCCGTGCCTGGCAGGGGGGAGAGAAGGGAGAAGAATTAATTCCTTGTGCAACTGGCTGCACTGCTCTCCTGCCTCTGATGTGCCTTTTAACAATATGGGACTACGGGTTAACATTTCAAGGGTGAGAACTGAACTTCCAGCACGAGGAACAGGATGTCCTGAAAACAGCTTCATTTTCAAAAAGCTGAAACTTTTGCCTGAAGAGTGCCCTTAAATCAGCAGTGGGGCAAGATCGGAGCAAAAGAGGTTTATTAGACCAATCTATTTCCTAGACAAAATATGCTTTCAGAGACCCAAGTTCTTCAAATCTAAAAAACACCTAAAGAAGAGCTTATGTGTCTGCTTTCTACAGTGTGGACAGCTGGTCTAGTAAAAGACCTTATCTCTTCCTATAAATTCTGCCATGCTTATAGCCTCACACCATTACTGCTGCAACACTGCTGGAAAAACATCCAAAACTTCATGTGGTTCTTCAAAAGGCAAGTCATAAGGTTAATTTGTGCTCTCACTTTCCCTGGTGTATACCCTGGCATAGCTGTCCTCTTTTGTTCTTCTATTAACTATTTATGCCTCTCACTTTGCAAAAGAACAAGACTGAGCTCTGCCCTGAGGCACTTCCTCTCCTGGGATAACGCAAAAGCACCCTTGCCGGGCATTCAGGCATTCGAAGTGCAGGAATAGTAAGAATCTACTCCTTTCTTGCTTGGGGATATAGGCATTAAATCTTCAAGGTCTTAGACATGAATTGCGGAAGTAGCTGGATCCATTAAGGAGGTTACAGGCTCCCTAACACAAACACCAACAGTGAAGCTCGCCATGGCGAGGTTTGTTGGTGAGCACATCGGCTCTCTCTGCACCTTGGGGGCTGTGTGGTTTCACACTGGCCTAAGCTGACCTACAGCTGGGCTCCTGCGAAAAGGCAGCTCTCCCCCTCCGGTGACTCTTGTGCTCCTTTGGCTGTAGGGTCTGTGGCAGCAGGGGCTGGTTAGTCTTGATACAATCCTCCCCTCCTGGGTTTTTTCCCTTTTGGTAGGATTAGGTTTGCTGAACTGGCTGGTCAAATGGTTGGGTAGGCACTGGGGCTGGCACAAGGAGATGGTGAGGGGTGGCAAGCTGGAAAGTGCAAGACTGGCCTTTCTGCCAGCAGTGTGGGCTGAGCCATCAGGAGCCAGAGGGCTATGCACCACAGTGGGCTTCTGCAGTGCCCGGCAAACTGCTCCAAATGCTGTGGGAGGTCGGGGCAGGCCACTGCCTTAGGATGGGATGCAAACATTCCTCTGCTCCTTTGAACACAGAGGAAAGGGGTTTCAAAACCATCTGTTAAAGAATGGTGCCATGAGGAAAACACATCTGATACACATGTAAGTGAGGGGTTTTCCTGTGGTATTTAGGCCTGAGGTGTTTACTGTTTTACCATCCAGCCATGCACCCAACCCACAAATGTATTCAGTGCAACACAAACACCAGATTTAACACCTGCTACACCATGGCTATAGTTACAACAGCAGCTTATACCCTGGCTGTCTCAGCCACCAGTCCCACAACATTAGCAACGCTCTCTCCAAGGAACAAAATTATGTCCAAAACCAAGTGTCTTCCTTTGTTGTTTATGGCTGATGGCTGTTCCTGATGGCAAAGTGTATTTGGTAGGTGCCTGGCTTGGGGGAGAGCATCTCATGAAGTGCCAGTGCTGCAGGTGCGTGGCAAGATGTGCAGAAAAGGATTTAGTGCTCACAACTGACTAGGGAAATCAGGCAAACACTGGCAACCACCTGAACAAGAGGCCCCCTGGCATTCCCTGAAGCAAGAGCTCGTTTTTCCCTTGTGAGTCAGTGTGTGGTCCCTGTAAAATGAAGCTACGTGGTAAGACAAGTTCTGCCAGGGTTAAGCCTCAGCAGCCTCTCCACTAACCCTCCCCTGAAGCAAAGGAGGTTTAAGACGATAATGGGAGAGGAAAACCAGGGTCATTGGGATGGCTTATAATCAGTTCTGAAGGAGAGCTGAGTTGCTACCTAACTTTCTTATGTATTTCTATGAAATGAACCTCGATTTCTTAGATGAGCTCACTCAGCTACCTCAGCCTCCAAGTGCAGCTGTCTTAGCTAACCATTTCCCCATGCCATCACTAAAATTTAGTAAGTCAAAATATCTGAAGGAACCCATAAAAAGCTGTGAGTTCTTACTGTATATATTCCAAATAGCCTATGCTTTGAAAATCACTGTACATGCAACACTTCTCTGCAACACCAGTATCCCCTCAGCTCAGTCTCCTGGTCCTGGGTCCCACTGCTATTTCTTCACTTGGTCCCAATAGGCTACCAAGGTTTAAACCTGTCTGTCAGTATATTGTGTTTGAATTTCAGAATTGTTCATATATGTTTCTCCCTCTAGTAAACTTACAGCTATGAGTAAAGATCCCATTAAGAAACAACAGTTTGGGCTATAGAGAAATGCTGCCAACTACTGTAACAGGAAAACATTACAGCTCCCTTTTGCCCCCAAAATAACATTTTCTTGCTGTGGGTAAATAGCTATTCCAGTTCTCCCGGGGGCAATAATCATGGCCCTCTCTTTCTCCAAAGGCAGCATGCAGTCCTCCATCCAAGAGAGAAGCTCATTGCCACAGTGCACGTCCAGACAGCATCGGCCTCTGCCCAGGAGTGAGGGTGGCAGAGGATGAGAAGACCGGCAAAGAGGGTCGTTCCAAGGAAGTTGCTCATGCACATGACAGAAGCTAAAAAAGCATTCCCCACCAGAACAGCACTCAAAGGACTTCATCTGGGCTCTTCTCTGCCTGGGAAGGGATCTTATTTGGTTTCTTATCCTTCTACTCCACATCCTAGAACCTGTAATTCTAAAAGTGAGTCAGTGTCTACAGTGACACAGATGGCATGTGAGGATTCAGAGCCCTGGCTGTGTTTCATGCAGTGCCATCTCATTTCTGCATCTTGAGGCAAGTCTCCTTGCCTCTGCCATCTTCTTGCCTAGCTTTATTTCCCCTGCTGCTCAGGAAGGTCACAGGGCCCTGGGCCATAAACTGTGTGTTCAGAGCACCTAGCGAATAACAGGTTCCTTGAGCTGGGATTTCCAAGTACAAAATAAAATAACTGCAAACCAAGGAAAGTAATGCCTTTTATCAAACTCAGTTATACCACAAAGAACAAATAAACAGAAACTGTAATCAGAAGTTAGTCCTTCACCTGTAGTCTGGTTTTAGTTTGTGTGAGTTTTGCCCTGAGGACCTCTTTCCTCACCAAAATGATGTTGATCTTCCTGATATTATCGAGGTGTCACCCTGTAGTAATTTCCAAGCAGCTACTCAAGATCCATTAGTATTAATCTACTTTGAGATGAACATTTGCCTCATAAGGCTTTACTCTGCTTCCTGCCTCACTGTTCATCAGTAAGATAACACCTGAGAAACAATGCTGGTGCTTAGAGCAAAAAATCAGGACAAGTGAATCCAATCCCAGCTTGGCCACTGACAAGAGACAAATCTGTGTCCCTTTTGTTTTCCCTTTTCCTATCCCTAATGGGAGTAATACTGACACCTCTTATGGCAGAGGCACAACTACTTGTTTGTAGAACACTCTGAGATGATACAGCACATCTCAACAAGAGTACAAAGTGCTACGGGTGTTTCTAAAGTGTGATGTGTGTCCTAAACTAATCTGTTCTGATCTGACACTTTACACATCTGATCCCCTACCACAACTCTACTATAAAATAAGCTGTGTTTTGGGTGAACTGTTTATTAAATATGCAACCATGAAGTTAAAAAAAGCCTTTCAAAAGAGTCTGCTTGTTTTTAAATCACTGCACATTGCAGATTTGAGTTAATCTAAGAACAGCAAATTATGGCCACAAGAAGAGTTCATAGATGATTCTCCAACCTTTCTATTAGGTATGCATCGTGTTAGTCCAATGCAGTCCAGACCTTTAGGGCTTCCAAGGGCCTAGAATCTGTGTAAGGTCTTTTGAGCATGAACAAGTGGATTACATAACTGATGAGCTAGTCACATCTTGGTAGGCATAAAAGCATTTATTTTTTTGTCACCTAGCAATATGACAATGGATTATACCTGCTTCTTTCAAGTCTTGCTGCAAAATGTGCTTTGTCTGTGAATGCTCATCCAGTAACAAAGGGTGTACTGTAGAAGGGTACAGGCTCTGAATTCCTACTGTAAGGTCCTGAGTCTGAGGCTGCAGATTGCCGCTGTCAGCAACAAAACTTGTTTAAGGTATACTCACCTCCCTTCATAGTCCAGGCTGTGCACTGCCACGTATTGCTGAACTTGACCTCCATCACGTTTTTTGTCCTCTGCATCACTTCAGCAAAGTGACAGGATCTCCAGCACAAAGCAGGTCAGGTCTGGGATAGGTGTATTTGGGCAGGTCCTCAGCACTGTCTCCTCTTCAGCATCATGGGGTGCCATGCAGTGTGCATTGATACTTATCACTGACACAGCAGTGATCATGGAGCACTTCCACCCAGGTCCTGAGCACAGGGTCCGATTCCCCCTCTCTAGGTCTTCTGGACATATAGGAAAAGTGTATTATGTTCCTAGCAGACAATGATGAAGCAAGAAATGCCTTAAATATGTATCTGGCCTTGCACCATGCAATACCAGAGCCACAGCTGTCTGCAGCACACTGAGATACGCATGTCCTCTGCTTATCCAGAACTGCCCCATATTGTCTCTGCACATTACAGCTCAGCCTCTCCAGGGAACGCTGTGTTTGCTGTTATATTTGCACAGAAGCCAGCGCTTTGCTTTCTGGTCTATGAATGGTGTATCCAGAAATTTGCTGCTACAGTGGTGCATTTCAAAGAAGATAATACTGTCCTTTTCCCTGATGTTTATTGTAATCCTTATTTCTGACAAACAAAAGAGATGAATTCTGGGAAATTTACCAACAATCAAGAGGAGTGTAAGCAGGATGGCTTTACAATATGTACAGTGCTGTGTGTAGGGCTCAACAAAGCCTTCTACACTGGGCAGCTCATTCACACCAGGCCTTTAGACTGATGCATCAGTGATAAGAACTACAAACCTTATCTGTTCTGCAAATTGCAGCCACAGATCATAAAACTTCCAAACTAGCAACACAACAACCACATGGAAAGCTTATGACATTAAATACATGAAAGGAACGCCTCGGGACTATGAGAAGGAATTGATTACCTTCAGCACAGAATGGGTAATCCTCAGGGGACTATTTAAAAATCAGTGACTAGTTATGCCTACTAGTTTAGTCAGTCAACAGAGACATCAAAAGTTTGTACAGATGAAGTTTTCTCAGGTACAGAAGAGCAGAGCAAGACTTTCCTTTCTGATAAGTCACTTGGCTCTACCCTTGGGGCAGGAATCCTTCAGAGATCTCTTGGGGTTTCCTTTGTCATTTGATGGATATGCCTCTGACATATGAAATCACGTCAGTAGATGGCTGAGGTAGGGCAGTAATACCAGATGCAGTTAGGATGTGTGTGGCAGGGTTTATTTCATGGCCCTAACATGCAGCATGCTCCCTCTACCTGCAGTTCAGCCCCAGGTGCTCTTGAGCCAGGACCCAGGTGGAGATCGTGGGTGATCTATCCCTCAACTGCCTTACACATGCAGAGCTCAGGACTGCAGCCTGCACTGCCCTGGGGATGCCCGAGAGACAGACTGGGCTATTACTTTGCATATAAAGCATCCTGGCCCTTCCTCATGTTGTTTCCTTCCCTCCACCAGCCTCCTTCATTTCCATTTTGCAGTGTCCCCCATCCATCCCCTCCCTCCTTACCAATAGCTGCTCCTCAGCACTAAAACCTGGCTGGAGCAGTGATGTAGACAGGGCTGTCAGCATAATGCAGAGGAACGGTGGCAAGAAGTGTTTACCTTACAATAAGGTAAACACTCTGCACCCTCTAGCCCTCTTATTACTGTTGGGACGTGAGTTAAACTGTTCCAGCCAATTCGTCTTAGTCCTAGATACCCGTTGTGTGAAGGCAGGGCCTGAACACAGCAGAGAAACCTCTGATACGTAGTGTGCACTCAGGCAATGCCAGTTATGTGGGTAGAGTTCATTGAACAAATGTAGATGCTTAAATGGTAGGTGTCCGTTTGGGAGTTAGTCACTCTAGGATGCCATTTTAAGTCAGAGAGAAATAGACACTTTTGGCATATGATAGAAATTTACGCTCAGTTGAGCTAAATTGTGTCTCATGAGCTCCTGCTTCTCCCTGCTGACAATATACGGCGTCAAGCACGAGTAGCTCACAGGTAAATGCCTGTACGACACACACCAAATGATGGGCGAGATCAATCACATTTTGTGCAACTTAGTTTTGACACAGGGATGTTACATATTATGGGGCTGCTAGAAGGGAGCTTCGTAGGGTGCCTGGTGGGGCACTCTCTGGCACGTAACTGCAGAGGCCAGGGAGCCAGATGCAGAGGAACAGAGAGACAGTGACAGACACAGCAAAACCCTTTGGGAACGTGGCTGCTGAAGCAACCATGACTTCATTAGACTTGCTCAAGATGCCCTCTAGCCCAGACCTTTCACCTCATTTAATGGTTTCTTGGCCTCAATCCCTTACAATTCTGAAATGAAAAAAAAATTCTCTTTTGACTCCTGTTTTCAAGACAGGGCTGTTTGATTTGGAACACTGCATTGAAGTCTGTGCTACTGATTGATTTCAGGTTTATTATATTTTCCCCTTTGAAACATGCTACAGTAAAAAAACCCACTTTGTCGTTTTTCATGTAACCCCCCCCTCTCCTTTTTTTTTTTCAATCTTAGCAAATGCTCAGTCTTTTCCACTTCAATAGCTTGAAATTCTCCCCTGGGAGCCCTAAGCTCTTTAAATATTTTTACGTTGCCAGATTTCTTATGTTCTCTCTCCAGGAAGCCAATTTTGTTTCTAAGCTCTTGAGAGTAGTCCAGCTTCATCTTTTGCGCACTCACTGCATCACAATAAAATGCTGCCTAATTGCTGCCTCAGCTGAGTCCCAAAGGTGCTGGAGTTTGTCTCTAGGCTACAGTTGTAGACAATAAACTCTTCTCAGACTGAAGTTAAGCCTTTTTATTATTTAAATCTGAGTCATGTAAAATTAGTTTACTAGCAAGTTACCCACAAAGATCTAGTATAGAAAGAAACTCCCTCATATTGTTTTCCAACACAATGAGAGAATGATCAGATATACAGATTTGCGAGTGGTTTGTAATACAAGATGTACATAGAAAGACCAACATTTAATTTAGCCAAAAAGACATGAGAATATTTCTGTGAGCCTAGAAGTTACTCTCAGGCCTTGTCTGTTTGGTGTTCTTTACCTTCAAATTGAAACTGGTGGTATGAAAAACACAGCAACTTTCTTCTAGCTTATCCATAGCCTGAAATACCTATGAAAGAGGAAAAGCAGCTGAAGATAACAAATGCCAGATGTGCAAGAGCTTTCTGTTCTCAGTCTAGCACAACAGTGAGAGGACTTAGTAAGTATTTTGCTAGAAAATAAGCGAGAATATACTAAAACTGGATGGCTGCACCCCCATCAAGCTTGAGAAGACCCGTGCAGCAAGGGACAAATGGACAATACTGGGAGTGAGAATGAACACATACTCTTTCTCTCATCAGCACCATATTCAGCTATCCTCAACAGCACAAGCAGACATCCATACATGGCATTTTCTCCCTTTGTGTTCCTTTTCTGTAATCTATATTTTAAACTGCTTATATTTCTGTGGTACAATATGGCTTCTGATGAAAGTGCATACTCCACGGACATTATAGTAAAAAGAATTATTGATCATTCTTTTAAGACTCTAATTTCTTTGGGTGCATCTGGTGCTGTGTGCCCAAATCCACAGTATTAACTAAGCAAAAATGAAGCTGGAAGAGACTGCTAGATTGTCTCAAAATGGTTAGATTGTCCTTTAATTAAAAAGGTCAGACATAATAGCAGAGACTTGACATAGTCTTTGTGGTGGTGTCTCTGGCTGCACACTTGCAACCTGGGACACTCATGAGCAAGGACAGACGATCCAAATGGCTCTTCATGTATGGCTCCTTTTGTCAGCACAGAGTGGATGCAGGCAGATGCATCTATCTGCAGTAACTGCAAGGAGATTGCTAACCACACACCACACACTCACTGTGCAGACCTCCTCCTGTTGCTGGGGTCTCTCATTCCTCATTTATATTTGCCTTGATCATTTACTGAGAGCGAAATGGCAGACATGGTGTGGACCGCAGAACCTTCATTACTAATGGTGATGCAGAAGACAGGAAGGATGCAGAGGTCTGAAGTCAATTTTGGCAGGCAGCAACTAGAAAAGCTAGGACACAATTTCAGCCTTATTCAGATCAATGGGAATTTTGCCACTGATGTCAGTGAGATGAAGATTTCGCTCCATGTCTGCTTGTAATCTGAGAACATGTATTCTGCAAGTCCAGGAGACACAGTGAAAACGGGACCCCACAGAGTTCATCTCAGATTCACTGCAGAAATAAAACTACATGGATTCTTTGTGCCCCTCAGTTATCTGTAAAACAAGTATGATAATGCTTTGAGTGCTAAACAATACAAGGTGTGTAGGAAGACACAGTATCTTTTATTAGGCCAACTGAAATAGTTGGGGAAAAACAGACAAGCTTTCAGGCTTGTCTGAAATGCTTTGAGATGCTCTGATGAAAGGTTTTTGAGCTGTGCAAGTGATCATTAAATTACATTCTTCCTCTCTCTGGAAATCATTTAGTGATATTTCAAAGGAAAGATACTGTACAGAAATAACTGATTTCTACTGCAAGTGCTGTCTGGAGCTAAATATCTTCTTTCCTCTCTCTTTATGAACTAATCTAAAGAAAATATGTTTTAAATTAGCATGTTAAGAACAATTTTGTGGTATAATATATAGTTCTGTGAAGTGTTCTGTGTTAAGCATAACCACAAGATCCTTAAACATATTTCAGTACACTCAAAAAAAATGGCTGGATTTCTGTTTAATGCTTTGTGGAAATTATGAAGTTATCACCGTGAAGAAATTAGAAAGCATAGAACGGCAATGAAATTGGCAAGTAAAGAAAAAAAAAGGCAGATATGAGTAAAAAACTACATTACACTTGTAAACATCAGCTAATGAGCCCCCAGACTATTACAATTGAGTGTGGACATCATGCATTGGAAAGCTGTGAACCAGTTAGTGTCCATAAAAGAGTGACAGAAACAATCAAACTTAACCCTCTCCAGGAAAGACTAAATGAGCTGGGAATGCTCACTTGAAATTAGACAGGGGTGACAGATCAACACCATTATGGTATCACAGCTGTGAGTGCAGCAAGATATATCATTGCCATCATGGAGTCAGTGGACCACTGAGGTTACTGTGGGCCATGAAGGGGTAGGTGAGGGAAGGTTTAACTACATAAATCCTACTAGTACCACTTTACTAGTACTTTAGTTCAGTGTCAAGACATAAATGATGTCACGAACAGAGAAAACTGGGAGCAGAGGAATCTTTAAATATGTGAAAAGTACTTGCAAAGAA